ATTTGTGGTTTCTGTTATATGTTTGTTTCATATGGTTTTCGTAAAATGACACTTCCTTTTGTGTTCACAGTGACATTGGTGTTTAGAATTTCATCCTGAATAGCTATATTGTTCATATTTGCAGATGTTGATGAAATTACGCGTCCTAATAGGTACTTGGCGATTGCAACCAGTGGAGGCTTGAATCAACAAAGAACTGGGGTAACTTACGATTTTACTTTTGTTTATCTTCTGCAGCATTATAGTCATAGTTACTGCATTGATGTTTCCTTGAGGATGTCTGAGAGGATACTTGATTCCACCCTATCTCTGACAGTTCAACTGATGCATAACCAAGGTAAAAATATAAAGGGATTAAAATATAGACTAAGGCCTCATCTGGCAGCTCAAACTCTACTGACTATTTCAGCTGGATAGGGTAAATAGTCCGGCTGAAAGAGTTCGGATAGTACTGACTAAATTAGTCGGGCATTTGGTGCTGTGTCGGATTAATCTGTGCATCGGATAATATGTTGGACTATAATAATTTTCTAAAAAATTTTCACAAAATAATTGTTGTTGAAATGAAAAAGGGGAGAAAAATAAAAAACCACAAACGAAGAAAAATTCACAGAGGACTTTGTTTTCTATTATTCCTCAATTTTTTGGAGAGGAAATGCACACAGAGGACTTCGTTTTTTATTTCAAAAAACCAAGAATACTCATCGGAGAGAAAATTGGGGCTGACTGATTTTGGGCATTGGGCTGGGGAAGGGCATTGACGGAATCCGACTTGGAGAAGGAGGGGAAGAACCAAGTAGGGCCTCCAGATATCAGCCAAATACGCTGGATCGACAATGCCCAACAACCACGATGTTGTCCCTGCGTGACTTCGTTCGAAGGCGGACAGGAATACGGGGTTATACTCGGCCTTTGAGATGGCAGATTCCTCAGCTTCCTGCCCCTCTTCTCTGTACAACCCTGTGGAATGCGCCGTTTCGCCGCCGTTCTCCACTCGTCTCTCTCTCACTCTCTTCCTGTTCCTCTGTGTGCTTTCCGCCCGACGAGATAGGAAATTGCTCAGCGATTGATTGCAGAGGAGTGGTGGCCAGGGTGGAGAACTCGTCGAGGAACTGCTTGAAGGCCCAATCTAAGAAGTTGTTAAGGGCGGCCTCTTGGTTGCATTTGTGCTTCTTGATTATATAGTATTTGTATAGTTTTTTTTCGCTTTTAGTGGGGAACTTACTCTACCTATAACTTTGGTAGATAACAGATGCCGTTGTAGCAGCTCGTATACTGAATTCTAGTCTTGTTGTTCCAAAGTTGGACCAGAAATCTTTCTGGAAGGATGCAAGGTCAGTCCTTGAATCATATCTATGCTGCCATATTTACTTGCAATCCAGATTTTGTAATTGCATGGACATGTCTCAATCAATTGTTTTCTTTTGCAGTAACTTTTCAGAGATTTTTGATGTTGATTGGTTTATATCATTTCTGTCAAAAGATGTTAAAATCATAAAACAGCTTCCAAGAAAGGGAGGTAACATGTGGACGCCATCCACTATGCGTGTTCCAAGGAAGTGTAGTGAAAGATGTTATCAAAATCGTGTATTACCTGTTCTTTTGAAAAGGCATGTAAGTTTTCAGTTCTCTTAAGCTTCTAATTCTTATAGAATGTAGAAACTTCTTTTCCTCTGTAAGTTGCATCAGTACTGCCTTCTCCTTTGCTTACTTTTGTATCCTGCAGTTTGTTTGCCAACTTTTAATTTTGAAATATATGACATTTCCATGTTTCATTCACTTACATTTAATCCAGTGCCCAATCTTGTGGACCAAATGGTTCTTGTCTGAAAATCTCGTGGTCAGACATTTTGTTTCCCTAAGAATTTTATTGCATTTGAAATAAAAACAATATATTCAGGCAAGCACATGAGCCAAGCCCCAGGTTTGGACTCGTTTACTAAATATGTATAAGTTTAGCTTTGATCATGGCTCTAGTGAATGATTTGATCCCTTAATGGATGGCACCGCTTGTTTGCATCCCTAGATACGTCTTCTTGAATTATCTTTCTACAAGTATACATAATTTATGGAAAAGGCACTTATTAGTTTTCATTCTGTGACAGGCTATTCAGCTCAACAAGTTTGATTACAGACTTTCAAACAGGCTGAATACAGATCTGCAAAAATTAAGATGTAGAGTCAACTACCATGCTTTAAAGTTTACTGACCCAATACAGAAAATGGCTAAAAAGTTGGTTCATCAAATGAGGTTGAGAAGCAAGCATTACATCGCATTGCACCTGAGGTAATTTTATCCATCTTTTTTTTTACTTTTTATGTTTAGAACAACCATTTAACTAGCGTTATTGCCCTGTCTTTCTTGCATATTTAGACTGAGCCATAAAATTGCACGTCAAACCTTGTTCCAATGATCATAATCATCATATTTCTGTGTACATTAGTATACCTGCTTTCCATATCTAGTTGATACATTTACAGAAACACGCATACAAGTGCATATTCATGAGTAGACTAAAACAACCCCCCAGATTCCTTCGCACGGGCAACTAATAGGTTGCACCCATATTAGAAACAAGATTCTGCAAATTCTAAGGCTTACTTGTCAAGTTGTTTCTTGATGCAATTAAATGTTTACTGTTACAGGTATGAACCTGATATGCTTGCATTCTCAGGATGTTATTATGGTGGAGGAGACAAGGAAAGGAAAGAACTGGGTGCCATACGAAAGAGGTGGAAGACTTTACATGTAAGGATTAATTGCTGTTCTTTTGGCTTTATGTCATCTTATGTCCCCTGAATCAACTACTGAGTAAAATTGATTAAAACCCGACCTTTGTTTTTTTATTTTAATAAATGTGCAAGCGCAAGTTGTGTGTGTACTTATGTTTATTTAGTAAAGCCAAGGAGGTGTGTATCAAGTATGAGGTGTGTATCGAGTCTATTTATATCCCATTGCTCTGTATCTATAAGATGTATCTTGGATGGAGTTGCAGATTAGCAATCCTGATAAGCCAAGGAGGCATGGGAGGTGTCCACTTACTCCAGAAGAAGTTGGTCTTATGTTGAGAGCACTGGGTTATGGCAGCGATGTTCACATCTATGTGGCATCAGGGGAAGTCTATGGAGGAGAAGAAACATTGGCACCCCTTAAGGCACTATTCCCCAACTTTTATTCGAAAGAGACAATAGCAACCAAGGAGGAATTGGAACCATTTTATTCATTTTCTTCTCGCATGGCGGCACTTGACTTCATAGTTTGTGATGAGAGTGATGTCTTTGTCACAAACAACAATGGCAATATGGCCAAAATATTAGCCGGACGAAGGTGTGCTGTCTTTCTTTCCTCTTTCCATTTCTCTTCTCATCTTATTCTTCCCCACTGCCTGCTTAGTTTTCACATCTTTTATTTGCTGCAGGAGATATTTTGGACATAAGCCCACTATTCGTCCAAATGCTAAAAAACTCTACCGGTTGTTCCTAAGCAAAGAGAACATGACCTGGGGAGCTTTTGCTTCTAATGTTCGTACTTATCAGAGAGGCTTTATGGGTGAGCCGAATGAAGTGAGGCCAGGCAGGGGTGGTTTTCATGAGAACCCATATACCTGCATATGTGAAGATTCTCAGGCCAAGGCCAAGAGGGATGTGGGACCTAGAAAATATGGTAGGAGTAGTAACAAAACAGGAAAAGACGAAGTAGAGTTTGATGCCCAAAACGTGGAAGATGATCCAGAAGGGCCTGATACTGATGAGGATGAATATCAAAGTGCCCCCTTGGACAATGATTTGTTTAACAGAAGAGGTGTGGATTATGACGCTGTCAACTCCGAGGAACCTGAATTGGAGGAGATGCTTTCAGACTAGACGGTTCTATCTTGACCCTTGCTAATAGTTGTCAACTGCATTTAACTGATTCTTATACGCAATTTCTTCGTATTTTCTCCCTCAAAATTTTCAAGCTCTAGACGAAAGTTTTGGATACAATTCCTCCTATATCTTCTGTATATAAAACTAAGAGGATAGACAATGTGCATCCCACATATATGAACACTGGCACAAGGTTCACTGGAGGGCAGCAAACTGATTTTCGACTTGTGAAACACTCTGGGCAATGCGATGGCATCCGGAAGTGACCAGAGTGGATGATGGATTTTCAGAAAGCAACGAGTCGGAAACGGATTATGTGGGCTGAAGCAGAGAATGGGTGTCGTAACCATGGTTGGCTTGAGCCTTGAGGCTTATTCGTACTAAAGATTTTTGGGCGGCTCACAAGAGGTTAAATGTTTAGCGTCTCTTCAAGTCACCTGAGATATCACAGAGGTGCGGGGATGGGGTTCATTCTTATATGGATGTTTTTACCAAATTGAGAGACAGACGGCAGCTGTAAATAAATTTTAAACTTGACCAATAAAAATTCCGAATTAACTTCTGGGACTTGCTAGCATTTTCTATACATGTGATTCCATTCCATTTAGCAACCTAGAAATTCATGTTGCCCTTAATTCGCATGCAAATGTCACGATTTTCAAGGACCATCAGGATGTCGGAATCGCTTTAGGCCACGCTAGTCTTTTTCTATCTATTATTAAATTTTGGGACTTGGGAAAATTCATAGAAAATACTTCTCAAGGTCAGTAAATTATAAGACCACTTTTAAAGTGTTTAAAACTTTGCCCTTAATTCGGACCTCGCAAAACTAACAAAAAAATAAAATCAAATCAATTTTTACAAAAACTGTGAAAGTCACTATTTTTGTCCATTTTGCCACTTTCTAAAAACTCCATTGACAATTCAATTCCATATCATTTTTGTCCTCCCTCAACTTGTAAAATTTATAGTTGGGACTTTTCAAAGACCATCGAATCACTTCAGGCAAGAACACTTTAAATACTAGAAATCTACGTCGGGACGGGTATGGATGAAGTACGATGCAGCTCCCCAAATAAATAGTGCGAAAAAAGTAGCAGCAGTCACCTAAACTCAAATCTCAAAACTCAAACTAGTGGCAACTGAAAGAATGAATCAAATGAATACTAAAATGTCCGTTACAAAAGACCAGTTTCAGCCAATATTATTGGACGTCGATCAATATTCTAAACTAGACCACCTAATTTTGGTCACCTTTCATTGTGGAGAAAATTCATCTGGTGGTTCATCAACTGAAGGCGACGATGATCCAAAGTCAAGGGCAGGGTAGACGCCAGGTGGCCTTTCTCGAGGTTTAATTGACAGCAATTGGCTAGAGTCACCAACGACATCTGCCCACCCGTAATGCGGCTCAGCCCTTCATCAAAAAGTGAGAGATCAAAATTACTTTTACAGTAAGAGCAATACCAGAAGATGTAATCTAAATTATTTATACTTGGTTCCCCTGAAATCCTTTTGACTGCTTCAACATACTATATGCAGACAGAACCATTACCAACTCCAGACTCTTACTCGTAATAGGTCTCCTCATCCACAACAATATCCCAGCTTTCCCCTGTCGTGCTTTTCCCATATTTGTGCACCTTACTGCAAAGAGAGAGCAAGTTAACTTGTCAAAGAACAATAGATGACAATGCAGTTCAGCAACTTTATTTCCTTCCGTACCCATTTCCAAAGTGCTCTTCTCCCCATGTCCTTGACCAACCTAGACATGAGAGAACAAAAAACAGAGTTACATCAGATTAAATTATTGAAAAGTTGAATGAACATGAAGATCTGAATAATTGGAACATATTCAAGACATTGTATATGTTTGCCGCATGGTATACTAGTTACCCAAGGAAACAACTAAAGGCAAACAAATTTTGTGTTAAATCATAGTTCAAGGTGCTTGCACATACGTTCACCGCTTGGAGATACATGCCATGTCTCCCCTTGTCGCGAACCTATGCCAGCAAAGAACTTCTCTTCCCACTTGTCTCCCCATTTGGTTCCAAGTTCAGTCTCAGCCCATTTATCAGTCCTGAAAATTATACGTCCAGCGTAAATCAACGACTAGATACTTTTTAGCTGCTGTATTGTTCTTCATACTTTTAACTGTAAATGGCCAAAATGATGATACCAGATGACAAACGAATTTCTGAATTTAAGAGGAAGGAGAAACAATGAAGACTTTTTTTTTGTTTTAATATGAACAGATGAAGAAGCAAATCAAGTTAGTTAGAGAAAACCATTTGAGAACAGATCCCCTTCCATCATAATGCTCTCCCCACTTCTCCCACCAAGACTGCTCATTAAGTCTACCGTATTTGTGTGCTCCTTTCTCGGTCCAGCCTTTAGCATCATATTTCTCCCACCTGCATCCAAATTATAGGTAAAAACCGTCCATGCATTTTATCTATTTCATCAGTTATTTCGTGCGTTATAATGTGAAAAAAAATTGAATTAACAACAAACCGTACTTTAGCTTACCATTTCTCATACCATCCAGCATTTTCCGTGCCTGATTTTGCTTGTTTCTGTGCACTTCTCTCAATCCTCGCTAAATTACTGTGCTTACAAAGTTGCAGTATTAATTTACATTAGGAAACAATGAAGCAATGAGAAGGTCAAGAAACACAAATTTTAAAAAGTTCTATAACTACCGCTTACTTAGTAAGGGTTAAAAGTAATTCTCTAAAACTTAATCAAATAGAGATAAGATAAAGACCTCCATTCATCTTGATGAAGAATTTCTTGCCATGTTTCCCACCACGAATCCCCTTCAGCATTTCTACCAGATTTCTCCACACCTATGAAAAGATAATAGATGCGAATTATGCATTCCTATCTGTACCCATACCCATGATACAGTAGTCAAATTAGTTGAAAGACTAATGACCGTAAAAGTATACAGGACAGAACACTGTCTTTAAAAACAGATATTGATTAATTAAACCAGTATGTAGTAAATGGTTGCCGCTCAATGCCCTTAGATATTTGTGCAAGTTTGCCACAGCAGTGGGAAGTGTTGAGGTTCAAAAATTTCTAGGAACAAGGATGAATACTGAACCTGCAAAGACTTGTGCTGACAAGTTTACTTATTAGAAGACCTTAAAGGTTTTATATTGCAGCAAAAACCTTATTTTCCATCTATAAAAATGAATGTGTTGCTTTGTTTACATCGAATTACTCTGAAGGTTGTGGTTTTATTCAGGACAATGAAGAATCTAAGATATCTAATTCATTGAAATTACATAGTGATGGGCATGGTTAATGATATCCAGCAGTTGAAGATGAAGACAAGGAAGAAGTATACCTAGCTCTTTGTATCCAGTCCAGTCACTTTTCTCCCACCACTGTCAATGAGATCAACAAATCCAATTAAATGCATCCACCTGGGATGATACTCAATGGGGTTATAAAGACAAAGTCAATGCAGCAAGGGACTTAGAATATGAGGCTAATTTACAGGTAGAAGGATGTCCAAGTCCTCCTCTACTTGTTTAAGGCTTTTGAGTATGAAATATAAGGCGCCTTGGTAGTACAATCCTAGAATTCAATGATAATTATTACTAAAGTAAACAAAATGACAGTGAAGAAGGATAGTCAAGTCATACATGGCAGAGTTAAAAAAGTAAAAAAAGTAAAATAATTATGATAAATTCTGATAAATACCGTTTCTTTCCATTGTGAAGAAGCGTCGTGGGAAGTACCACCCATCCTTGTCCACCTACATCTGTAGCCATTGTTGCCAAGGTCCTCGCCACTTTCGCGGTACCAAGTAGTGCCATCTTCATTGGTGCCAGACTCATTTACATTTTCGTTTAACAAGCTGATGCCCCACTCCTTCTCATTGGCAATGCCAGTATCTATAAAAAAAAAATACCAAACACCACAATAATTCTCAATGATAAATCAAATATGTTACCAATTACCTACCAACACCATCCATGAAGGCCAATGATGGTACATTACCATCTTAAAGTAAGTAGAATGATTGATTGAATAACCTCTTTTCGGAGGACTGTCGCGAGATTGTGGACCAGAGTTTCTTGGGGTACAGCGAGGGTAGTATTTCTCTTGTTTGGACAGGAAGCGAGATCTGCAGCAAAATACAAAAGAGCCAATTAATTATAAACACCAAAAGCCAACTAGTTTAAACCCTAAAATAATACTAGACAAACAAGAGAATGGAATTGAAGTATTCCTTGGGTAAATTGCAAATTCTAATGCAACGTACTGAGCAGGAGAAGAAGAGGAAGACGAAGCAAAGAAGGGCAATGCGGCGGAGGCTTGGACTCCAGCAGCTCTCTGAGCCCTTTTCTTGGAATCGAAGCGCCACTCTTCCGCCTTGTCGAGGCTCTTTCCGGGGCGGATCGGAACGACGGAGTCGGAGCAGCAGCAAGTGATTCGAGTGACTGCGGGTGGGTCAGCCATGGGAAGGCTAAGTCTTCTCCTCCGCTTTCTGATATCCCGCAGGCGGGCGGCATTAGTAGCAATAGAAGGGTGGGGGTGGGGATGGAAAGCGAGGCGGAGGCGGGTGAGCTTGAAATCAGGCGGAGAAGCGAAGCCTCTGGAAGTGGCCGCCATTGCGTTTACAAAAATGCCATCCGAATGAATCCCAAGCTGAGGAGACGGAGACGGAGACTGAGAGACTAGTCTTTCTCTCTCTATGGGTATGGGTTTTGGTTTAATTAAATTAATTGATGAATGAGGGTGGAAGTAGTGATTGGTTACTAGTTAATATATAAAGAAAGAAAAAAGGGAAGGGAAGGGAAGGGAAGAAGGGAGGGGGAGGGAGGGGGCGCCAATGAGAGCAACAGAGAGAATTTCGGGCGAATCTTTGTTTAGCGACATTTGAAAATGGACTGATTGAATGAGGTGGGGGTGGGATTGGGTGGGCAGAAGAACAAACAAGGAAGGAGGGAGGGAATCGGAAGGCCTCGCCTCCTTCTATTCTCTTCTCTTCTGTGAATCAACCTTCCCCCGCCTTCACCTTCTCCCTCTCCCTTCTTGACGTGAGAGAGATAGAATGACGGTGGAGTAGGTATGTGGTGAGTTTGTAACACGAGAAATCGAGGATAAACTCTGAGAATTGGAGAAATTTGGCAAGTTGAGCTTATTCGGGTGGAGTGAGTGAGATCGGTGGGTCGGTGGTTGGTTGGATGCAAGTGCGACGCAATCGGGCATGCCATCCGTATCCAATCCCCAGATTTTATCATACCACCGTTGCATTGCACGTAAACAGACCGGACTGGACCCCACTTCCGTTCTTTTGTTCCGTTTTGTGTTACTCTCCACCATGGCTCTCTCTACCGCTGCCACGTGTTGCAGACTGAGCCGTCGCTTCCTTCTCTTCCACAAGTCTTCAGTCTTGCGAAATTAACTAGCTGTGCTACTTTCAATCCACTGCTTCAATTGAGAAAGCTGATCCAAAACGTTATGTTCCTTCCTCATTGTTAAAATAAAATTTCCAACAACACAACAGTCAAAACTTGTTCCGAATGGACACCATTTACAGGACTTGGAATGTCCAACACATTGTCACATGTTCGGTGAATTCGAAACTCATCCTTTTTGGGGCAAGTTTGTTACTATTTTACAACTAAAGTCCACAAAAGAGTTTATATTTTGCTTGTTGCAAGTAATCAAATAAAAAATATGTGCAGTTATGAGTTAGTTTATCCAGAAGAATGTAGTTTAAAAACAGGATCAATCTTCCCCCACAATAACTGTTTCAAAAAAGAAAATTAATTTAACACATTATTTCTAACATCATACAAACCCCTTTAATTTTGCAATCACTAGACTGAACGATGACTTTAAAATCAACGATCAAGATTAAGGTAAAAGTGTTGAAATCGATACTAATAAATAAGTGCATTATTTTAGGTCAATTATTTATAGATTTTGTTAAGGAATTGGTTAAAAAAAACCCTAGTTACTTTCTTTTTCATATTTTCAGTCAATAATCAATATGCACACTTAGAATCTCTTCTTTTTATGATTAATCGTTTTTCCGGATGAGTTTTGACGGAAGGCCAATTAGAGGAGATTGCCCAATACTATATCCAGTTTCAAGCCCGAAAAGAAAAAGCACTAGGGTGGGAGTAGCACCTGCTCGGTTACTCCTAGTCTCTCTCCACTTGCCTAGGCCGAGGGCTTGATCTGCTATTCCCAATTTCATGTCCGTCATCTGGTTGCTTGACACGCGTCTAACCACAAGGCAAATGGCAGCGTCTCTCCTGTTCCGCCACGTGTCAGTACTTGGCGGCATGATGACATGGCCGAGGCACCTGTTGAGCTTCTCAATTGAAGTGCTAGCTTAGCTTGTGGACAAAAGATGATGCATTCGAAAAGAAGGATAACGTATCTTACGTGTAAAGCAGGACGTGGCATAAGAGTCATGGTGTAACGATCCCCACGTGTCTGGCTGATACAACAAGTGGGAAAATTTGGTCTCCTCTCTGCTGTTGGACGACGAGGAAACCAAACCCATCTCTTTTTGGTGTCTGGATTGGATATCATCACTTGATCAGGAAGTTGAGGCGCCTACAAATCCATCTTTGTCAATTATCATGCCAAAACTACTTTTGACATTTGAAGTTTTGAACGCTACCACCCCATAAACCAAAACAAAAATCCACCTTCAGGAGTCTTAGATTTTATTGGGTAATAGGAGACATATTTCCTTGTGTTTGTGTCTCTCGTATTGCATGAGACGTCGCGCAATCAGAGATGCAAATACTCCCCGCCATCCCCGTTGTACGTATCTAAGAAAAGACGTGGGGCAAATTGATCACCAGCTCCTCTCAAATTCCTTCCCAATCCGACTTGGAAAGGAACTAGTGGATCAATCCTTTACAAAAGAGATGCTGGTTGATAATAGAGTATATGCAGTGGTGTGGCAAAAGGAAGCGGATAAAGAAGAAAAACAGTGTGAAAGCAAGGAAGCAATGGATAAATAGATTAGTAGAGCAGCACAAATGTAAATTCTGAATTTCCATTGTTTGGAAAAAAAAGGGTCCACATCCTTCAAACGAGAGATGATCAATCAAAATTAGTAACAGTCGCACATGTTAAATAACCAATTATTCAAGTTAACATTCACATACTTGAAAGGGGGGAAATACAATGAGCTTATTTAACAAATACGAAACCAAAGTAAGATGAATTGTACTCTCAACACATGAATGAATGTCAATTGATATCACAACAGTACCCTTGCCTGTTCTGCGCTTCTGCTTTCGCAACACCCAAGTTTCTGCTATGTTTGAATCGGAATTAAATTATTTTGCCACTTGAGGTATGTATTCACGGATCATAGTACACCCAAAAAACTTGAACTGGGACCTGATCTCTCAGTACAGTATTCTGTGGTCTTCTTTTGTGATCTTTCAGAACAGACGCAAACAATGATATCCAAAATCACACACCAAGTAGACCAATCATAATAACAGGGACCAGTGTGTCAAACCTTATTTCTTGGAGAGAAATGGCTTCACTGATTCTACAACTACCTGTTTGTCATGGAAAACAAAGAATTTCGCATTTATTAGACAGAGTTGAATTGGTTAGCGTGCACACTTCTTCCAAAACACAGACAATACATGCCTGCGAAAGGATGAAGCATTTGATGCATATGCAAATTGCAGCCGAAGCAAGTTACAAATGCATATGAAACTGGCATCATTTAACAGAACATATCATAAAATTCATGCTCTTACTGAAAAATAAATGAATGATTTGGAACAAATATATCTTATTGTTCCTAGTGGTTCTTACCCTTCCATCATAGGATAATGATGCGAAGATCCAAGGCTCACGAGAGCTCCAAGCAAGGCCTAAAGTTTCAAGAAATAATAATTTAGTTTAAGATTATAATAAATCAATTATATGCCTCAGGAGTTGCCGTAGTTACCATAAATACTGTCTTCATAATCACTGTAAGAGTTGAGCAATGGATTAATCCGCCTAGTAGGTGAGTCAACCAGGCTGACAAAACACGATAAGAACCATCGGTAAAATCAAAGAATGTAATTAGTCAACACAAAAAGAATCTATGGAGTATCAGGGCATGTAAACTACCGCCCAGACTCGTCATCGCTAGGTGAAGAAGCAAACCACAGGTTGACAGCTGAGTCTGTGCCAGAACTCTGCAATAGAATACTTTTATCAGAAAGTGTTCAATTGACTAAAACATGTAAAACCTTGTGTGTGTTTGTGGGGGGGGGGGGGGGGGGGGGTGGGATGGGGTGGGAGAGAGAGAGCGCAAACCAAAATCAGCCCATCGTACTCAGGGTTATACCGGACAGCCCATGTCCTGAAAATATTTCAAGAGGTAACAATCAGACAATTAAAGTCCACAATTATTGACACTTCTTTGACACGAGTATGAACATCCCAAAAATGCTGAAACATGCACCAATACACTAAGGATCATCAGGCAAAACATGGCTGAAGGGACTGAAATGCGACGGTACACAAATTTTACCAGTGTGTGTGTCCTGGAAGCTCCTGGATAGGCACCTTTGGCTTCCTAAGATCCCATATGCGTATACCAGATTCATCTTCTGCAGTTATCTGCAAAAGTGTTCACAATTTGTGCTATATTCACAGGAACAAACGATAGTGATAACTGCCATGTTGAGAAATGATAAAAAAATAATAACAATATATTTTGGAAGACAAAGTGCACCCTGTCATTCATTTTTTTTTTTTTTTTGAGTTTTAACGAAACACTCTCGGTACTGTTCACTTTTAACGAAAAGGACATTTTTACTCTAAAAAGTCACTCCTAGGTACTATTCACTTACAACGCCATTTTGTCCTTTTGATTAAAACTCAAAGTTTTCAAGCCCTTTTCTTTAGTTTTCCTTTTTATTTTTTCCAGTGAAATGCTCTAATGTATTTTGAAAGTAGACAGATTTCTTGTGAGTTGAGAATACTGTTACTGAATTTCTATGCAAAACAATAGGCTAATTCTTGTCTGTGTGTCAGTGCATTTGTTGAAACATGCAAGTTATGTGAACATCTTTCAAGTTCTCAAATTTAGAATTGGTCGAGAGAATAATTGAAGAGAATGAATTAAATATAGACATGAATGAAACAAGCACACTCAGAGGGGAAAAAGCTACACTCTTACAAGGACATGTTTCTTCTTGGGATTATAATCAACATTGCGAACATGAGCATGCTCAATAGAATTTGTCTTCCTGCAGATAAACGGAAACTATTATTGATCAAGAAGGGATACTGACCACAAAAACCTCAAACAAGTAACAGTCCCTAAAATAGTTCTGTTCATTCTTGGTTGATAATAAATATAATCTGCAAAATGACAAGCCAGTCCATATAGTAGTACAGCAATACCCTGGTAGCCATCCCTAGGCAACCCTTCATGTGAACTATCAAAACTGAATACATGCTTCACACGTGAATTTGAATAATTAAGTTTGAAAATCTATGTTGGCCCTGTTTTAACAAATAAAAACAATGCCAGTGCTAATACGTACTTCATTGTTCGTAAATCCCAAAATTGGATGGATGATTCACAAGTCGCTGCAACAGCATTCACATCATGCGGATCCCATGCACCACCAGACAAGTAGTGCATCACACCAGCTGACTCCTGTGTTTGTACCTGGACTCAGCGAAATGACCTAAATAAGAACAGTCTGAAATTCAAAGTGATAATCCATTGACTTCTAAACCTTTTAAGATTTTGAAAGGCCAATAATTTATTATGGTGAATACAAAAAATACGTGAGAGAGAGGACAATTTCGTTGTCTTTTCCTTCCTCCCCGACAATAACCTTTTCTTTTTCTTTGGTTCATGCATGAGTAAATTTCGATGAAGTGGGAAACCATAATAATTTAAATCTTGTAAAGAGATAGAACTCTGGTTACTTCCATAAACATGTACTACATATGTGGATGATTGACAAGAAATCTCTAAAGGAATTTCATCATAAAAAATACCTGAGCAGCTTTTTTGGATAAATCTAAGCTCCACAAGGACAGATTTTCTTCATCAATGCTGATCAAATTATCATGCCTTCCCGATGGCCACCAAAGAATGCTGTTCAATTGTATATTCACATCGCATAAGAGAGTCAAAGAACAACATGGGAAGAAAAAATGAGTCCAACAAAGTTCATACCAAACCACATATCAAAACAAATAACACGAAATTAAACTCGAGTTACATTCACAAGAAATTTATAGCAAAGTAACACCTGTTACAAGAATATAACCACAAGAGCACACCAAATAGTCCTCCACAAACTTACATGAGCCAGGAACATTAGATGAGCAACTTCCTTCTAAGCATAAGATAATGATTCCTTAAATTTAATTACTATGGGTAATAATTTATATTTCTAAATGCTTTTCCTGTTATGATATAAATCTTCCTATTTTATTCAAACAAAAGAGAAAACAGCAGAAAGGAAAAAAAATGATTGGAAAGACGAAAGATAAATCGAAATTTATAAAACATAATTGGGCAACTAAATGATACCGAGAGAAAGGGCAGGGTAAACATACTGACCATTTGATCTTGCCAACTTGTGAGTCGAGGGAGGTAATTCTTTCCAACTGAGGGGAATTCAATTCACCATATAACTCAGGGATCTGCCATATTGCTGCTCCGTATGACTCGCCTTCAAGCACATTGAACTTTATAAAAACACTACCAATGTCTGTGACATACTGGACTTGCAGAGAATTGAAAGCAAAAAAACAAGTATAGAAGCAAGATAAAATAAAAGAAATGTATAATTACCATTATTAGCTTAAAACTTAAAGAGAATTAGAAAGATAAAAAAAGTAAAAGCATCCAATGAACTGTGAGAATATGTGATCAAAGCATTGTTCAACGGTATCATACCAGGGAATTTGAAATAATCAGAAAAAGAAAAAAAGAAAAGCAATTACCAGTGGAGTAAACAGTAGAGAAGATGCGTTGGTCGAAGGGACAGGAAGCAAGATCCCAGATCTCGTTGGGGTGAGAAAACAAACCCTCGCACACGAGTTCGGTTCCATCGGAAGAGAGCCGAATCAAATGCACCTACTCAATTCAACATTTCAATTCGATTCGATTATTCAGATCCACTGGTTTTATTTGAAAGAATTCGACGAGGGGGAAGAAGGCAGGCAAACCTCGTTTTCTTCTTTGAGACTGAGAGTGCCAGTGATGAAGCTAGTATGATCTGTGTCAGCTTTAACATCTGATATACATCTAGCCTGGCCGATTGTTCGAATGGGAATCGGAATCGGAATCATTAGGGTTTACGAATTTGGGGGAAAAGAGAGTAAAAGTAGGGAAATGCGAATCACCTGGTATTTCAGACCATATCCGATGCCCGACGATCCTCCTTGCATTGCGATTTGCTGCTCCACTGCCTGAAACTGAAACTACGATCTTTGCTTTGCGGACTGCAACTACTTGTTGCATACAAATTGTATGATACAACCACCCGTCCTCACCTCGCTCAACCTTCGATTCTTTTTCTCATTCCATTTTCGTTTCTGGGCTAATGTCGTAAAACGCGCCGTACAGGCCCACTTAAAAATGTTGAGAATATTATATCCCAAACAAAAAGATTATTAAGAGCATCTCTAACAGAGCTGTCAAAATGTCGAAATCAGCTTTAACAGTCATTAAAGGTAGCAACAAAATTTTCCAACTGAGAAGTCAAATTTGATGTGGCATTGCATGGAATGGCAGCCCACCCCCTTGCTGTCAAATTTGATAGCAACTTCAAATATTCTTCTTCACTAAGCTCCTACTTCTTCCCCCGTTTTCTAGTTCACCGATACAAATATTCTTCTTCGCAAGCTCCTATTTCTTCCCCCATTTTCTAATTCGCCGATACTACCCAATATTTGGTTTCCTCAATTCCTCTAGGCTTACTAAAATCCCATCTTTTATGTTACCAATCCCCCAATCCTCCTCTCGTTTCTAGGGTTTCATATATGTTCATCAGAGATTGGGGATTTGATTTTGTATTTTAATTTTATATTAATCGTTTGCTTAGCTTTTTCGGTTTTTATTTTTAAATACTGGGTTTTTGAATGCCATATTGGTTAGCAGCAAATGAAAAATTGAACCTTTGAAGAGGAAAATCGAAAATTCTTATCTGGGTTGTTTCCATTGTTTTTCTAGGAAAATTCTTATCTGGGTTTTTTTTGGGAAAATTCTTACCTTCGAAGAGGTGGGGTGGGATTTGTAAAATTTAAATTTAAAATTAAAATTATAAAATTAAAATAATGCAATAAAATAATAGTTCAATTTGATATATCGGGTGGAGACTAAAATTTTAAAAGATGTCAAATTGCCACATAAGCCTTCAAATTTAAATTTTATGTTTAAAATTTGGCATCTCCTTTGGAGATGATCTAACATGAGTAGTTCCAAGTTCCAACCAAAAAAATTAGGGAGTTTTAACGATACACTTTTAGTACTATTCATTTTTAACGAAAACTTCATGGCTTGCGATGCCATGGCGCTATTCTACGTAGCCATTCTCTACGCCCCGACTGTAATCCTCCGTCTTCCTCCTCCCTTCAAAAACTTCATGATCTGATGGCTCTTATGCGCTGCCATTTCATTCGTCGTCTCTGTCATTGTCTCCGCCCTCCTCCTCCCTGTAAGTCCGCTTTAACTTCCTAGTTTCGATTGACCTAATAAATATCTAATAAAAAATAATTTGACAGCAAAAGGGATACCTGCTATTCCATGTCATGCCACATCAGATTTGACTCATCGGTTGGAAAACATTGCAGCTATCTTTTTTTTACTATTATTGCTGATTTGGACATTTTGACATCTCATTTGGAGATGGTCTTAACTTTTTCCTACGTTTATTTACCTATAAAGAATTGGACAATATAAATTTTTTATTGAGATCCATAATCAAATATCCAAAAATTAAGAATAAACTCGAATAGAATGATAAATTGATCTTATTCTGTTTTCTTACTTGTATATTTTAAGCTATGGGAATTTTATAAGCTAATCCCATTCCGATACTTTCATTTTTCTCATTTATGTTAACTAAACATGCCCTTATTAGTAAAAGTTTTCAAAACCGGAAAAGTCTAGCACTAAGATTATCTCCAACCCTTGAAAATAAAGCTAAAAAATTTAAGCCATAATCCATAAACTGTTTTTCTCCTCTAATGGTTGTTGCTTAAAATTTTAGCCAAAAATTATTAAATAATGATTTTAGCCTAATTAAATTATGATAAATAATTAAAAATCATACAAATACATATGTATTTTTTTAAGTGAAATTTGATTTAAATAATTTTTTTAAATTATTTTAGGCGTGATTTAATTTTGAGCCGTCAAATCTTTTTTTTACCATTAGATTTAATCTCATAGGATCACAGCCTTTGGATTATACGAAAAAAAGTTTTGAAATATGACATTTTGGTAGGTCAAGAATAATTTAAGTCAAGCTTAATTTCCGGAGGGGGAGGGGGAAATCTAGCCTAAAAATATAGTTTTTTTTCCCATGCTTATTTTAGTCCACCAGTTGGAGATGGTTTGGAGGGCTTTAAAAGGGGTGTAGTCAATTTAGATTTAAGAGGATTTTAAAAAACTTTTTTGAAGTAACAGATTTCAAAGTATTTGAATAGATTCTACAATTCTGTATGAATTTTTGCATATTAGTATGAATTTTTATTATAAATTTGTTAGGATTTGTAAACATTACCAAACCAATATAAACATGATAATCAATCATTTGACTTATGCATCTGGCTGTTTGGTGCTAAAGAAAGGTGATTCGCGGGCTGGTGACTCTAGTGTTTCTCCTCTTAATAGTGAGGTGTTCCTTACTCCTTAGTCATAGGTGAGTTAATGACCTTCTTGTTACAGAGTGGCATAATCTCAGAGGTCATTTAAATTTCATCATCATCCGAAGCCATGCTGTTTAGTGGGAGCAATGTGTCAAATACTTGCTTTGGGAACAATGGTGCGAAAGTTGTTGGAGCAAAGGGGACTCATTAAGCAATGGTGTTGGCATTAATAAAGGGGTGCAATGTGATTTAAGATTGATAGACTTGTGTGGACTTTTTTAAAATCATAATCGACTACTCATGGATTTAGATGTATTATTTAGAATCTTCTTAAATCCTAATTTGATTACACAATGAATTCAAAGTCTTTTAAAATCCTAATTGACTATCCCCGAGATTTTAAAATATATTAAAATCACTATATCCCTAAAACTTATATTTTAAACTTTATTCCATGAATTAGAGATGATCTAAAAAAAGCAGAGGCAAAAGCCCATAACCAAACAAGGGACGAATAGGATCAACTAACCAACCAAACCAAGATCAAGACTCTCCCAAAGTTCATTTAATCTACCCAAATGAATAGTACTTGTCACAACCCGGCCCGAGACGGATCACTTTCCGGGCCCGCTCCACCACCATAGCACGATATTGTCTGCTTTGGGCTTACCATTCCCTCACGGTTTTGTTTTTGGGAACTCACGAGCAACTTCCCAGTGGGTCACCCATCATGGGATTGCTCTAGCCCCCTTCTCGCTTAACTTCGGAGTTCCTACGGAACCCGAAGCCAGTGAGCTCCCAAAAGGCCACGTGCTAGGTAGGGATGAGAATATATATTTAAGGATCACTCCCCTGGGCGATGTGGGATGTCATAGTACTTGACTGCAATGAACAGTTTTATAAAATAAAAAATAATAATTTTATTTTTAATTTCAGATAGAATTTTTAACCAATCTTATCACGCTACGTGTCATTTTTCGAAAGTACACTTTTTGTAGAAGATGGTTAGGTATTTATCAATATAAAAAAATCGTTTAATTTTGTTTTGTATTTTTAAACAATTTTTATAATTTTTTATTAAGTTAATTAATATGGACAGTTGAATTTCAAAAATGTTGAAATCCAACAGTCCAAAAGTGAACACGTGACCCACAGTGAGAGTTTGCCATTTTTTTATTAAAGGCTTGAACGCGCGCCCACGCACCAGCCGCAAAAAATGACTCAGCCTTGGCTGACGTCCAATAGACCGATTCCTCACTCATTCCATTATGAGCTGGCCTAGAGACTAGAATGGACTTTAGGCCGGTCTATTTAGAGGGATGGAGTGGGTTTTTAGGTGCCAACCTATTTTTTTAGACTTTGGATCAACCTAAAAGAGAGGGCTGGAGTTGCTCTAAGTTAACAAGAGCCCGCAGGCACCAGAGCAGATATAGAAAGAAAACCTAAGTAGAAAAGTCTGCTTCTTCTATCTACTGTCTACACTGAATACAAATTGTCAAACCGTTTTGCTTAATTTAATAATCCTTCTCCTAAATCCTAATCTAATTCATAATCCTCGCCCTTTAAACCTAAATCCGTCCTCACACACACCAAGGGCCTTTGTCATCTTCCTTCCTCCACGGACCACACCTAAAAACAAAGTTAGAAAAGGAAACGGAAAAAGAAAAGGAAACCATTTATCAAAATCAAACGAGAGAGAAGGAAAAAAAAGGAGTAAACGCAAAGTCACCACCCGCCCCATCTCATCTCATCCCAATTTCAATTTCCTGAGACTGAGGGCACTTTTTGGATTTGGATCCAGGCTCCAACATCATCGGCAACAGATATCTAATCAGATGAGATGGTGAAGTGGAGAATCCTCCTCCCCGAAAACAGGATGACCGTCTATTTCGCCAGATGGTTTTCCGATCTCGATTGGCGCCTGCTTCTCTTACTCATCCCTACCCTCTCTTTCATACTCTTCCTCTCACTCTCCTCTTTCTCTTCTTTTTTCTCTCCCACCAACATCCCTTTTGCTCCCATCCGATCCTTCTTTCGCGGCGGCCGCGCCTTCCAGTTCCTAGTGCCGCCCAACAACTTCAATTCAACTCCAATTGCTTCGCCTACTTCTTCACCAACGGCAACGGGGACCCCAAATCAAAATCGGACAGAGTCGTTGAACAAGAAGAAGGAGGATGATGAATTGGGTCGCTCCAGAATCGCCGTCTGCTTGGTTGGTGGGGCCCGGAAGTTCGAGCTCACGGGGCCGTCCATCCTCGACAAGATTCTCAACAAATATCCCAATTCGGATCTTTTCCTGCACAGTCCTGTTGACCCCAACGCCTTCAAGTTCTCGCTCCTCAAGTCGGCTCCAAGGATCGCCGCCGTCAAAATCTTCCACCCCAAAACGATGCCCGAGACCGAGTTCCAGCACCGAGTCCTAACCGCCCACGACTCGCCCAATGGCATCCAGGTTCCTCTTTCTTTCTGAACTCCTGATTCTGTTTTCATTTTTTGTTATTTTAATTTTTTAAATAAACATTATATTAATTATATTTCAGTTTTACGATATTATGGAATGGTCAGATTGAATTAATTTGGTTCGTTGACCATAAATAATGAAGATAAAGGGAACGTGGCTAATCGTTGTATCGTATCGTCTTGCTCCTTCTGTCAATGGCAAATCCTTGGGAAGAATAACGTGTTTACAACAATTAGTTCTTCCTGCTGCCGTTTTTGTTATATGTTTGCCATTCTCAATTAATTTGGTCTGAGCTACACCCGTTCACCTACTAATTAGTAATTAAATTGTTTTAGGAGAGAGAAAATAAAAATGCATTCGTAAAATACAAGGTAGGAGGACTAGGAGGCAATACAAATACAGCAGGCACGTGCCATGGACCTTTGGCCTCCTTTGTTGAGACGGTTTTTTTGTTATAGGTTACGTTTGCCTATGATTCTTTGATCCTTTTGAGATGGTAAGAAATATGGCCTTATACTGTTAAATAAAATATTAATTTTTTGAAAGACTATATGGCTAAAAGAAGCTCTCTGACTCTCCTTCAGTTAGAGATAGTCTTATTTGAGCCCTTTCAGCCAGCTGAGCTGATCCATCAGTATCCGAATAATAATAATAAATAATAAATCATTTGTAGAGTAATATTCTTGAATTAACTTTTTTATCTTTTTAACAAATGGTTTTATATACATTAATGGGGAGGGATAATGTCTCATAATAGACTAGCAATAATATAGTTCAAACTCACATTTGATGAGAATTCACTCCATGACCTCTCGCTTAGACGTGAACAAGAATATCACTACACCGTAATACTAAGAGTTTAAATTTTGGTGGATAAATAAAAACTTGTCATGTTGTTCTGGTATTGTATGTTGTTGGATAGATCCAACAATATAAAATGTGGAACTCAATGTTAATTTCATAAAATTTAAAATGAATCAAATGTAATATGCAGGGTCTATTGCAATATTTCAACCTGGTGGAAGGCTGCCTAACTATGATCCGAGCTTACCAAAAACAGAACAACTTCACCTACGATTGGATTGTCCGAACCCGCGTTGACGGTTACTGGAACGCCCCCCTCCACCCCAAGTACTTCGTGCCCGGTCAGTACCTGGTCCCACCAGGCTCCAGCTACGGCGGACTCAACGACCGCTTTGGAGTTGGCGACCTCAACACCTCCACTGTCGCCCTCTCGCGCCTCTCCCTCCTTCCCCAGCTCGACGCAGCCGGATTGCACCAACTGAACTCCGAAACCGCCTTCAAGGCCCAACTCACCACCCAAGGGGTACCTTACGTCACTAAACGACTCCCCTTTTGTATTGTAACAGACCGCAAGTACAAGTTCCCGCCACACCGCTTTGGAGTGCCGGTGGCGTCCTTGTCAAGTCCAGGGCTATTGAGCGGGGCCAAGTGCAGGCCTTGCACGCCTGTATGCCAAGGCCCATGCGTGGGCGACGTGATGCAGTCTCTCTACAAAGGTTGGAGCTGGACCCACTGGGCAAACGGCACCCTTGAGCTCTGCGATGCCCATGACGCTTGGGAAAAGGATTGGGAGATCAAATTTGACCGAGTTGCTGGGAAGAAACTGGCTGCCGAGAGAAAGCGAGTTGCAGGCATGACGACAGAGCAATGCATTCATGATTTCAACCAAATGAAGAAGCGAACTGCCAACTGGGACGCACCCCCGGCAGAACAGATTTGTAGCCACTGAACAACAACAAATACAGAGCGACAACGATATGGGAAAGAAATGATTTTGGATTCGTACATTCTCTTGATTTAATCATATAGAACGTCTTTCTATAAAGGAAATTAATCAACACAACGCACAGGCTTTACAGCTCTAACTATACTATAACAACAAGGTATGGATGACAGTCTTCACAATTGTGTATGAATGCCGTGTCCGGACTTCACGAGGACTTGCACCGTGGCCTTCCAAGACTCTCCATATCGCCTTGTCTAAGAGGCCTGGGATGCCATAAAGACGGTGGACCTGTTACAATTAAGGATTGAAAATTGCTTTTTTTCCAGTCCAAACCTGAGAGCATTAGGTCCTCAATCCTGTTTTTCAAATCTTAGGTCTAGCACAACGTATAACTAAAAAACAGGATTGAGGAAAGAAATAATGCAGCAATCTTAAAGTATATATGTTGTCATAAATAATTGGTAATGAATTTTTAATTGAGGGACAAATGGTAATAGATTTTTAATTGAATGACCGTTGCTCCAATTTAATTAAAGTTGATGAACCTTTGCTACTATTTTCTCAACTTATAGACGTTGGACCCGTGAGCCTGTGCCAAGCTTTGGGTACGCCCGAACCAAAACGAGCTACGGCAACCATGGAGGAGAGGACAAATCGTATTTCTTGGCTAAATGCGAGATCAAACTTATTCAAGAAAAGAAAATTGCTTCTTTGCGAACCAGTTGTTACAAACTTAATTTATCATACAAATTTCTTAATCAATACTCTTCACTTTCGCTTCTTTCTCCAAATTACTACCTTGGAGAGTATAACTTTTCATCAACTAGTTGTGATCAATATATTTTGGGTAGTGCTATCTACACATCAATTAACTTCTCACGCTCACATTGTTCATGTCAGTTGATATTTATTCAATTCATTCAATCAACAATAAAGAGGACGTAAAATTATAGAAAAACATCAACATTATTAACATGAATAAAGGGCATGAAGGCATATATATATAATACTTGATCAATGGATTCTTTGGTAGTGATATCTAGCTAGCTAGGGTTTTTATTTTAGACACCAAATTAGTATAACAAGTTCTCAATTAATATAAACAGAAATTGGATTGACATATTATATATATATATATATATATATATATAGTGGTATTGGTACAAGTTTACTACTACTGAATATAGGATTGACCAGTGATATCAAGGTCTCGGTCGCCGGTGTAAGGTGGGGGTGTGTGCTTGGGGGGTTGAGTGGTGGCTTCAGCTGGTCCGTCGGCACTCTGGCTCTCACTGGCCCGTGGTTTTGCTTTTTCTTTTGCAGGCTGATCTGGCTCTCTACCGTACATTCCACCGCCATAGGCTTCATATGTTAACGGCTTCATCCTTGATATTTCACTATGACCACCTCCATCCCCCTCCTTCTTCTGCTTAACCTCCTCCCGTCTCTGCTTCTCCCTTTCCCTTTCCATTTTCTGATGATCCATTGATTCCCTATTTAGTAATAGATAATCTATTCGTAGTCGTACTTTTACTAGCTAGTTATATATATATATATATATATATATATATATATATATATATAATTCCAACCGCCAACGATCAATATACGTATGACACGCGTCTTGTTTTATGGTGAAGTGGCGAAACCCCTAACTGCCTTCTGTCATCCATGCATGAGCAACTACATCCTCATGCATGTACAAGCACACCTCCAAGGTAGTCCATATCCACCTGACTTCGTACTTTACTCGAAATCAATCTCTCTCACTCTCTAACTAATTTTCTGGCGAAAAATTTGTATAACATGATTTACAGTGTCACAGTTATATATAATCCAGTACAAATAATGAAATTATGTGTTATGTGTTAAACTTCTTTACCTATATTTGTGTTATTCGCACAAAACAGTGCCGTATACATATAAATTACTCTTAATTTTGAACCATCACTTCAAAATGATCTAGTGTTGTGGTACCGCACATGCGTTTTATATGTGTTCATTACTTCGACATAACTTAGTATTGTGCTACTACGCATGCATTTTATATATGTTCTTTAACTTGTCCCACTTTATATGTGTTCATTACTTTGACATGACTTAGTGTTGTGCTACTACGCATGTATTTTATAATGAAATATATTGGGCTTGGTGCCGTGGGTTAAGTGGCATGGGTTTTGGGTGCCTTAAGTATAAGGCAAGGCCCAAAAGACCTCGGGGGTGGGCTGCAGGTCACATAGGTGAGGGAGAAGCCCCAGCTGCAGCTGGGTTTCAGTTTGGGCTGAAAGGGGGTGCACGGGACAAGGCCAGTAAGTGCTGGCCTTGTGGGTGATGCACGAGGGAACAAAACCCAGCCCCATGGGCTAGCGTGTGTGGGTTCGAATGGGAGCCCAGCCGCATAGGCTGGCTTCCTGTGCTGCAAGCCGCAAGGAAACAAGGCACCAAAGAGAGCAGGTATACGGGCCTAGATGCATGCAGGACAAGGACCCAGCAAGTAAGGCTTGCCGTGGGTTTAGTCTAGATCCATGAAGGCTGCGAGCCTCCTCAGTGATAGAACTAGGGTTGTAGGCCTATTCTAATCAATCAGGCCGAAGGCCTGGGGTCCAAGTAGGTGCAGCAAAGCCCAGAGGGCTGCTACCGATGTTGTGCTGCAGGGGTGGTGCCATCCAATGTCCAATTTCCCCTTTTTTCAAAAAAAAAAAAAAAAAAAAACCTAAATATGCTTCTAATTTATTTTATATAATTTGACTCACAAATTCCACATAACAATTTAATTGTGCGATGCATGAAACAAATATATATATTGACAAATATATGAACATATACAATATATATATCGGAAGGAAAATGTAAACATAGGGGGGTTCATGCATCATGGGGAATGTTTTCATGCTTCGTGGACGTTTCAAATATCTTCATTTATTTTAAGCGTACCTGATTAACAGAAAACGAATAAGCCTTTGAATGTGGTGGATGATAGCCTCCTCCTACGATGCATCAATTCGTCAACTTCTAGCAAGAGCGTGCTGATAATGTGTTATAGGCCTATTTGATTGAGCGCTCTAGGGTTTAGAGAGAGAAAGGGGTGCGGCAAGATTGAGGGAGAAGAGAGATTGATTTAATTGTGAGGTGTGTTTGATTCACCCCATTGTGCCTTTATTTATAGTAGTAGAAAGAGTAAAAACTTTTCCCTTTAGGATTACAACATTTAATAGGTAATCTAATCCTAATAGGAATATATAATACTTTTTCAGATTCCCTAGGATTTACACAATCACATTTCTATTCTAAATATGACTGCAACATATACTTGTTTTTTCCTCACCTCTACCATTTGATTATTTGTTTTTGCTCATCTTTTGTTCCCCCAAATAATTTTTCAAGAAAAGTTGGACACTCACTGATTAGTTTATAGACTGCACAATGATATTCAATGGTGGTAATGGTATATGTAATTATGTATCATTCTTCTCAATTAATTTGTGCCACTTGATTATTTGTTTTTGTTTATCTTTGATTCCCCCAATAATATAATAGATATAGTTATATACCTTGAAAAGTTGTTCACTAATCATAATAGATTGCAGAATGATAATAGTGGTAGTCCTGCATATATATTTTATGTCCACCGCACATAAATATTAATATATATATATATATATAGATAATATATATAATGTGTAAAAACCCATATCCAGCAACCACTATATTCCAACATAACTCAGTACTACTTTTGATTCTTGATCACGAGTCAAATGAACATTTTAAGTTTTTCATCTTACATACGATTTTATTAAAAACATGATATTTTTAGAGATTAAAATGAAATTTTTTAATAATCAATTATGTATTTTTTACGAAAATCTAGTACTACGAGTTAGTAATAGTATTGGAGTCGAGAGCTTGCGAAACTTGAGAAAGAAAGGAGATGAAGAAGTCAAAGTAACATTGAAGAAGATGCGGCGATTGGAGGCGTCCATCGCCGGGACTGAAACTTTCTCCGACAAAGTTTTAAGGAGTTTGATCAACGCTAGGGTTTCACTGCTCAACACTCTCACCCTAGTCTAAATTAATATTTGCCATGTGTACTTTTAGTTTTTAATTTCTATACAAATTAAGGAATGTTCTTGTTGATGGTTTTCTTCCCATTTATTAAATTTGTCTCCGTTGTCGAATTAATAGAAAAATTGTGTGCAATAGCATAAAGCTTTGGGGTTCGTATTGCAGCCGATGAATATTAACAAGGGACATTTTGAATTAGACGCCTCGTTTTTAAATATTATTGTCTAAACATCTATTCATTTTGCAAATTTGATTAAACATTTTCTTTACAATTTTGGTACTTTAATTTTATTTCATTAGAAGTCTATTCATGTTAGTATTCTTTTTTTCCTCCTATTTTTATGCAATTCTTATTATGATGATTTAAGATTTTTTTTTTATTAAAATATTTATTTTAGTAAATTAAATAGAATGTAACAAAACTTGTTGTTAGGTATGTTTGATTATAATGGTACATTTAGTTACTTGATACATTTGAATTTTTGGTCCATTTGGCTTTTTGGTACATTTGAATTTTTGGTACATTTAGATTTTTGGTATGTTTGTTTTCAAAACATAAGTTTTATTACCTTTTGTTCTAATGATGAGGAATTACTTTAATTAATTAATTTTTTTATAGAAATAGTTGTTAACAATGTAAAAGTTTAAATTACTTTAATTATTTTTTTTTTCTAGAAAGAGTTATTAATCAACGGATAATAACCTTTTTGTTAATTCAAAATTATATGATTTATTGTTATTATTTAGCATTATCTACAATAATAAAGATTTATCCCCGATCAACTAAAAGTTGTTCCAGAGACTTATCTACTGAAAAACAAGATTATCTAGAGCATTATGTATGAAACAAACATATTTTTAAACATTCCAAAAAGATGAATATTCATTTTAATATAGTTTATAATTGGTTACGTTTTTATTCGGGGTTGATACGTTTTCGTTTGACGTTGGTACATTTTCATTTAACATTGGTACATTTCCATTTGGCGTGGGTGTACATTTAGATTTGAAAAGTTTAAACTTTTAGACTTAAATATAGTTGAAATTATTTAAAATATATAGTAGATATTTAAATGTAATTTAATTTCAATTAATTTGAAGTAGTTCAAAGTTTGAGAGTATCTTAATCAAATGTTTCAAAAGTTTAATAAAACACTCAAAAAAACATAAATGTTTAATCCACAAAAGTTTAAAATGAAGCATCTAATTCTAATTTTCTCTATGAATAACAAGTAAATGTATTTGATTAAACTAACTATTACTGACTTTAACTGACAAAACCTCCACGCATATTAATAACAAGTAAATGTATTTGATTAAACGAACTATTACCGACTTTAACTGACAAAACCTCCACGCATATGCATGCATGATGAAAAAGGCAGCCACATACTAGCTAGCTGGCGAGGGTTTGGCATGGGCATCGACGTTGCACAGTTTTATTATCTTAACAATTCATAATTAATGTCGGATTCTTGCATCCGCCATCCGGCATTTCGATCTAATCAACTTTACTGATATCGATAAGATGAATTATTGATAATTAGTAATACCCTCAACTTGTTCTTGTTCTTCTAATTATACGTGCGTTGTATATATTTATGAATGGCATTAGTTTTTCTCCACTGTATTAACTGTAGTATGTAAGTCCAAAACTCCTCTAAAATCCTAAACTCTAATAGGATTAACATCACACCTTGACGGACATTTTAATCAGGTCATCTCCAACTGAAGAGTCAAGAAGGTAAAAAATAACCTGAAAATCGTCTTCAACCGAGGGTTAGGCCAGAGGGCTTGTGGGCTCCACGGAATCTAAAAGGGCCAAAGGGTTGGCTAGAAAATCATAGCAATCATGTCGGTTATAACCGACAAGAATGCTTAAAGCTAGCCGTTGTATTCAATATTTTTTTAATGAATTTAAACCTTTTTTTATCCTATAAATACCTAAGTCATTCCTACACCATTTCTCACATAATTTTCACCATTCCATACAATCTCACTTCATTCTATTTTTTTTCCTATAACTTCTATTTTACAAAATTTGTTTCATATTTTTTTGAAATTCCATTTTTTCAAAATTTGTTTCATATATATTTTTTTAAATTCTATTTTTTTCCTATAACTTCTATTTTACCAAATTTGTTTCATATTTTTTTGAAATTCCATTTTTTTCCTATAACTTATATTTTACAAAATTTGTTTCATATTTTTTTGAAATTTTATTTTTTTTCCTATAACTTCCTAAGCCATTATACAACATTAAATTAAATTAAGTAACATGAAACAACATTAAACAATATGAAAAAACATTAAATAACATTAACGAGCATAAAAATTATGTTTGGTCCTCAGTTGGAGACGGTTTTTTGTGACAAGGCTAAAATGAGCCATATGGCCCTCGGTTGGAGACGGAGGCAAATA